TGTATTAGGGCCCAGTGCCCAAGGCAATCATTCACAAAGTGAAAATAATTCCAGATTCAGGGGCTGCAAGATCTCCAATCCTTCTCTGTGAGGTGGAGCCCCTCCCCTGTTGCCAAAGTCCTCTGCAGGCTCAAACGTAGTCCCAGAGTCCGATTTCCAGCAGGTGCAGCTCCCCACCAATAGATGGAGCCTCCCCGAGGGTGCTAGATGTGTTTCCTCTTATCAGCACACCTAGCATCCAATCGGGCTGTTTTAAAAAAAAAAAAAAAAAAAAAAAAAACGTAGTCCCAGTGTTTTTCGAGGTGTAAGGTGGGTCTCGCGTATTCCCAGTTTTTTTCGAAGTGTAAGGTGGGTCTCCCCGACTCTCCCGTGTTCCCTGATGCGCCTGCGGAGTTGCGTGGGTGGTGGCAAAATATCCAGGCGCACGTTCGAATCCAGGCGCACGTTCGAATCCAGGCGCACTTGCTGCGGAGTCGCTATTTTCTTACTTCACTTTTTTACTTTTTTCCGCACCTTCTGGCGTACTTTTTCCCTTTTTCCGCACCTTCTGGCCCCACATGCAGTTGGTTGGTGGGCTGTTTTGTTTTGTGGGCAAATATCCAGGCGCACGTTAGAATACATGCATCCCTTCCGATGGCTGGAGGGAGACAGCAAAGCTATGTTTGCATGGGTCCCATTATAAGCCTTAGGAGTACGGGTAGGTAGGTAGGTAGCGAAGGTGAATCGAAAGAATTTGAAAGATGATGAAAAAAAAAAAAAAAAGTACATAGTTGCGCACTCGAGGTTTTTTTTTTTTTTTTTTTTTTTTTTTTGGAAGAACTCAATCATTATATTTTAACGGGAAGGATGAGACCGGGAATCCCTCAGCAAACAACCCGGAAGGGATGCTGGGGCCATTACCCAACTTCGACTCGTCCTGGAGACCGGGTCCAGCGTCCCATCCATTCTCTTTCATAAGAGACCTTCCAAAAAAAAGACAGACCTTGAAGCTCAGAGAAAAAGGTTGCTTTCTACTCTTAAGACAATATGCGATTCACATTGAGAGGGCTCTAATATACCATAAACCAGTATCTAGACTCTGAGTTGTTCTTTTCTTACTTCGTAACTTTTTTGAAGTTTTTCCCACACCTTCTGGCCCCACATCCAGTTGGTTGGTGGGCTTTTTGGTTTTGTGTTTGGTTGGTGGGCTGTTTTGTTTTGTGTTCGGTTGGTGGGCTGTTTTGTTTTGTATTTGGTTAAAGAATCTTCTGCAGCGGCCCTTTGTTTCCATTCTCCCTGTCCAGACAAGCCCTTTTCAACGTGTTAGAGGCCCGCGCGCCACTCATGTTTGACTACAAGTTCATAGTGGCTGCATGTTTTAGCGTGTTCGGATTCAATGCACAAAGCACAAAAAAAATATGGACTCTGAGACTTACCTGCTCTCTCTTTCTCTCTCTCTCTCTCTCTCTCTCTCACACACACACACACACACACACACACACACACAAGAACAAACAAAAAGAAAAAGAGTGGCAGTGTATATTTCCATGTTCTAGCCGAAGATCCATTCTGATTTTGCTCATCCTATGGAAGGAAGTAGCCTCTCTCTATCCCTCTGTGCGCATTGTGATGCGCACCTCACGCCCCGCACTGCATTCCGTACGTCGACATCGCTGATCAGAGTAGTTAGGGGTGTGACCGAGGAATTTTGGCCGGGGAGGTTGAGTCACCCGGATGAAACGGGGGACTCTTGTTTCAGGCCGAGGTGTCTAGATGGGGGTTTGAGCTGTCGTCGGGGGCAAGTAACGGGAGAGTGATGCCCTACAGCCCGACCATTGTCACACAGAGAAAAGAAAAGAGAGCGGAAAGAGAGGGGAGAAGAGGAAAAGAAGCCGACGGGGAACTAGGTTCCGTTCCCCGGGGTGCCGGGTTCGCGCGGGTTTCGGGGGCGGAAGCCCCGAAATTGGGTTCAGGCTTCTGTGTCCGACTCACAACATGGGGCTGCCCGGGGTCGGGCAGGTCGCAGGAACCCAGGTTCGAAAATGGGCGGGGAGTGCGTCCGCGTTGCGGGAGAGTTCGGGGAATCGGAAGGCCCCTTCGTACCCCAAGACTAATCCCCGCCACGAGCACGAGTCTCCCTGTCGGCACCAGTGGCAATTAAACTAGGGCTGCCACGTTGCCTGCACGACTGACCAGGGCAACACCGTGAGGTCTGTGTGTGGCAGGATTAAAGGAGGGGAAGAAAACCGCTCAATCAGCGTGAACCCACTCCCTCCTATATGGCACGCCTGGGTTCGATTGTACGGATGAATAGGCTCGATGCGCCGCAGCTCCGCACGTCCGCATCGCAGTACACGCCATCGTCATCTGCGATCGGGAAGAGCGGGAGTGCGCTGCGACGCTCTGAGGCGATCCCCAAGCTCGGGTCGCGGCCCGCGCTGCCGTCCATAGAGATGAGACCTGACTCCATGCGAATCCTAGCGAATACCGCCAAAAAGATGCGCTTAGCTCTCTCTATCTTTCTATCTGTGGACATCAACCTGAACGCGGTGTCGGGATCCAGAGTGGGTGCGGGGGTATCAGACGTTCGGGGGGACGCGAGCGACAAAACTCTCCTGAACTGTTTGTCTCCCCTGGGGCTCCGACCTGCGTACGGAGAGAGAGAGAGAGAGAGAGAGAGAGAGAGAGAGAGAGAGAGAGAGAGAGAGAGAGAGAGAGAGAGAGAGAGAGAGAGAGAGAGAGAGAGAGAGAGAGAGAGAGAGAGTGGAAGGCACTTGGCGTGTTTCCCACACACCCGTGCGGGTTTAAGGGCAAAGGAAAGAAGGAAGGACTGATGCACTCGTGCATTCATGCAAGCAATCGAGGCTCAATACTTCCAATCATCAGGCCTGGGGGCGCACACACACACGCCTACTCGTAGAGCCCTCCTGAACAAGGAGATGTTAACCATCCAGAAACTTCCATACCCCACAATACAACTGATTACCCACACATGGAGACCTTGCACACATCACACGGGGACAAAGCAGCAATGGAGAGAAGCAAGTTCTTAGTATATCGAATTCTCACGACTGGCCGCTCAGGGTCCAGCCCCCAATCTGTCAAAACCACCAACAACCATAGCCACCAAGCCCTGCCGCTGCCAGCGTCTGATATCCACCACCGCTCAGTCCCTCCGACTGCCTTACCCCGAGTCTACCGCTTACTTCGCCACCCGTCGTCACTCCGCCCACCAAGGGGCACGTCGAGCCTTTCCGGCGCCGCGGGCTTCGCGCATAGCTCGCGCAGCTGCAGCCGAGATCAAAGAGAGGGAGAGGAAGGGGTTGCGATAATTTATAGCGCAGAAGATGGCGGAGAGGTTGTGCGAAGCGCGGGGTGTAGACGAGCAGGACAAAAGAAGGGCAGAGGTTCCAAAAGGATCGAAGGAGGCGATTCGAATGATCTGCGTGATTGGGGTGGTCGTCCAAGTGGGGTGCACCTCTCGCTACCACCACATTGGCCCGACCATCCCAATCAGACAACTATTCGTTCACAAGGAAAGGAGAAGGAAGGGATCGGACTTCGCTTAGAGGGAAAACGAAGAGGCACATAGGAAGGGAGGGCGCAGCAAGAAGGGAAGATGGCGCAGGGATGCCGAGCGGTAGAACGGGTTTACGTGGTACGTAAAAATTTGAAAAACAGCCGCGTGCGCAAAAATTCGAAATTCTTACTCCTACTAATTCCCAACCGTTTCTTGAATTTCTTGTCGTGACCCCTAACCAGCCACGCGAGATCCAAATTAAACTTTCTACTCCGTCCCGGATTTCATAAAAGAAAAGCAAAAGAAAAAAGAAGAAAAAAAAAATGAAGCCCCGTTTTCCCCATTATCTTGAACCCGTACTTCGGGGCTTTACGTGGGATTTTCCCCTAAGGGTATGGAAGCCGTCGAGTACGGATCCTCTCTTATCACATCTGTGATGCGCAGGGGGTTGCGAAAAAAATAGCAGTCTCCTGAATGCAGTACAGGTGTCCCAATTACTCTGAGGATCCGAGCGGCCACTCTTCGTTTGCCCAGTGCATCGCCTATTCTACTGTGATGCATCCTGCATCGCTGTGGATCTATCTTCCCGTTGTACACCCGATCGCTTCCCGTTGTACACCCGATCGGGCGGCGGCCCCTTCATCGTCAACTAGCCCGATCGTTTTTTTTTTGTTTTTTTTTGTTTTTTTTTTAAAGTATACATAGTGCGTTTTGCCGCGCGACATTTCTAATTAGAAGAAGAAGAAGAAGAAGAAGAAGAAGAAGTTCAGAGGAAACGGTCGATCTCGAGATTAAGATAGGGAGGAAGAGGAGGAAGGAAGGCCGCTAGCGCGGCCGAAGTCGTGGACGCCTCCACTTCATTGAAGTGGTGGTGGACGAAGGAGGGGTAGAGAAACGCCCTCGGTACGTGCGACAAGACATGTGGCGCCAGATCCGCAATGGCTCTTACGACTCGTTGCCATACTGTGCGATTCCCAGGACCCGTCATCACCAGATGTGTCTCAGTATATGGCCTCCGCTCCCTCTTGAGTACCGCGACGACGAGGAAATGATACATTACGTTCGATCGTTGGCCACCCTTGGAAATGAGCGTCCCTGCTAGCCTGGCCGCTACGCACCCTTCAAATCGCGGCTCCAGGTATGGCTCCCATGCAGGGTCAGGACGCGGGGCCCCCTCGATCGCCTCGAGCCTGATTGTTGCAGGCTCCGTCATGAACTTGTCATCCATCGGGTGGACCCTCCGGCTCGGAGGAACTACTAAGGTCAATGATCGGGGCACTTCGAGGTGGTTGGCGGAAGCGAAAAGGTCCTGCGAGGATGGGGGGTCGGGGTGCGGGATATGGTACTCCTCCCACTCCTCCTCCTTCTGTTGGTGCTGATAGACCGACTCCATCAAGATTGAGATCGGGAATGAGAGGTGGCAGTGGCGTCGGCTCCAGATTGCGCTTGCACATCCTGAATCTGCTGGTCCAGGCTATCGCTCCCGACACAGCTCCCTCAATCGGGGTCCCCCTGCTTTCCGGAACAAGATCAGATTTTCGCACCGGCCCAGGTTGAACCACTTCTTCCTCGAGCCCCACTTGGCTTCCTTGCGCCTCCGGCGATGGCTGGCGATGTCTCTTCTTGGGCGTCTTTCTGGGAGTCTTCGGGGCTACCGACTTAGGATAGGATGAGGGAGGCCGCAACGGCTTCCTATCAGCGATGTTCACCACCTTCTCTCCCCTCTGCGCGATAAAGTCCGGTATAACTATAGTGTGGAATGATCACCACGGAGCCGATGCGATTCACAGTCGGAGTTGGAGGTCTTCTTCTTCGTTGGCGATTACTTGCGTGATGGATAGCAACTCAATATGGATGAGTTCCAGGAGTCCCGGCCTGCTCGTTCCGATCTCCCCGAATGGATATATTGCCACTGCTCCCTCCTTCCTCTTTGGCTTGGGTCGCGTGATGACGTAGTGTACGCGCAGATTCTCGACGATATTGTGATCGTCGTACTCCACGACAAACCGGAGTATGCCCAGTGCCCACTGATTGATACAGCGCCCAATGTAATTCCCACGCACCCTCGTCAGCGCACGATAGCGGCTCCACGTCCTCCAGCTCCACCAGGTACTCGAAGAAGTTGCACATGGGGTAGGGGTTCTCCGTGAGTTGGTAAGGAAGGGTGATGTAAGAAAAGAAGGGACACATTTAGTATGAGGGAGGGGGAATAGCTTGGATGTTGAGAGGATCAGCGGGGCGGAGGAGCGCGGGTAGCTGAGGCACCAGTGCCAGCGGCCGTGTTGTGCCCGTTGCAACAACGTGTGATAGGTTGTGAATCAATGGCCCTGTCCCTGCACACACGCCACTGATCTCGCCACTTGCACCACGTAATCCCACAGAAAAATCCACGCCGGTTCTCGATGTCGACTGTCTAGGGACGTGAAATCGCTGATTAACGTGGTGATGTTGTGCACAAAATTGGTGGCCGCTTGGAGCTCGCGGAACACGATGAATACCCGGGTGGTCTCCCAACCAGGTAGTTGCGTTACGTCCACGTATACCTTCACATATGTCACCCGTTCACTCGAGAGCGAGTACGTGGCGAAGTCTGCGATGCTAGGCCCAGGCACATTCACCTGTTGGATGTCGTATCACAACTGCCAGTCATCATTGAATTGCAGCTGCGAGGTGATCTGCGATCGACGTTTGAAAATGTTCGACCAACTCACTCCCCTGCTGGTGATGGCTCATTCTGTGCGACCAAGTCCTCGACCTCAAACGACGAAGGGGATCAGAGGGTGGAAGAAGAAGAAGCAGGGGGAGGACGAGGAGGCAGAGGGAGAAGGCCTCGATGGGGCCGGAGCCCGCTCGCGACTCAGCGATGGCTGGAACAAACGAAAGGCAACAGCGTGGCGAGTCAGCGGCCTGGCTTGCGTGTTGTGCCGGGGGACCAGTTTCACGGATTGTTGGCCTTGTGCGCCAAGTTCTATCACCTTGTAAATGCCAGCGTAGTGAGGATGGATCTTGGAGGAGCGAGTGGATTTTCGTACCTGCACTAGATCCCCGATCTTATAGCGGGGTAGTGGACCCGCTGATGCATGTCGGTTCTCGTAATCTCTAATTTGTTGTTGGTGTGTCAGATCCACAACCCTTTGTCGTCTTCGGGCTAACGCGGGATAGGTCCTAGCCATCAAATCCATGTAACGGTGGACCTTGTCTCGGTGTTCAGCCCGAGTCGGTCTAACTTCCGTACCCAGTACTACCCACTAGAGGTGACAGTCGCACACGGGGGACACTATTGGTTCTTAGTTAAAATGGGGACACCCCTTTACTGCCGTGAGTAGCTCGATAGACGTCTAAGATGTGGTTGACTATGACACGCCAGGGCCTAGTATCTCCGGCTGTAATGTTCCGTCTAAGGCAAGTCTTAAAAAACTCTTAAACCATTCGGTTGGCGTTCTCTACGAGCCCGTTGGCTTGTGGGTTGTGGCCAGTGCCCTGGTGAGTACGAAATCCTAACGTCGGCCCTTATGAGATGTCGTTCTGCCTTCCCTTGAAATTCAGATCCGTTATCCATGTGTACCTCTTCTACATCGAGGTGTATGCACAAAAAGCGATTGATATACCACCCTACTTCTAGCGAGTTACGACTAATTATAGGATAGGCCTCGATCCACTTAGAAAAATGATCGACGGCCACTAGAAGGACATTGCGCTCACCCTAATCGACTGGACCTCTCGGCTGTGTAGCCGCACGTTCATTGAACGTGCGTTCCACGTTCTTCATGAAAGTTCGGGTGAGTTTCTTCTTCTTCTTCTTCTTATTCATCTTTCTTCTTCTTCTTCTTCTTCTTCTTTGTTTGGTCGTTTTTTGTCTTCTTTCAACTTCTTTCTTCTTCTTCTTTGTTTGGTCGTTTTTTGTCTTCTTTCAACTT